TCATCAGAACCGGCACGAGAGCGAGAATTAGGAGGCCGTGCAAGGGCGATATTATAACTGCGTATAACATAATACGCACCTAAGCCCGGCTGTTTTTTTTCTGTCGTGAGTGAATAAGAATCATCCCCTGTTTGAAATACGAGCAGCTGTCATTCCAGGATTAACGCATGCGAACCAACGCGGCTTATTGGCTTTTCTATGAAATTAAGTTTAAAAAATTATGGTTTAAAAAAATCAGTTTTCCGAAACAACAAATTTTCTCACCATATTAACGGTAAATTTAGGGGGGAAAACAATAACTTATCATTAAACTAACTCGGGCTACAATTGATTAAAATTCAAAAGAAATGACTTCCGTGCAAAAATAAACCTCACTCGCGACGGACGTCAGAGAGGGTCGAGTTAATCTGCACACGCCGCGCGGCTAAAACTCTAATCACAGTCGGGTGCCGGCGGCTGCGAGTTTATTTTCTTTGGTTCTCGCATGCAGACATCGCGGCTGGAGTAACAGGGCTAAATTTATTTTGGAGTGCTCGCGGGGTGACAGACCTGCTTTGCTTGCTGTTTTTGCTCTCCCCGTCAAATGTGAGAGCCGAGCTTCTCCCTCACTCTCATCTCTGGCACGCATCATAAAACCTTATGGGGAAAGATGATCAGCCAAAAAAAAAAGAACTAGCTAACAGAAATAGATATCCATCAACTCACAATAAAGCAGCGGACGACCCTAGCCACTTATTTGTTTGGATTTTGGAATTTGTTTAATCACGAATGTTTATAAAAAGTAAATTTATGAATTTGCTCAATATCAAGAACAGAGGTGATTAAAATCGAATATGTATATTTGATAAATATTAATAGAAAAAAAGCTCATGTTAAAAAAAAATAGTTCTCGTCGGTTCTTATTTGCTTTTCATTGTAGGCTTCATTCGGAAATTTATTAAGAAAATTCAGTTGAGCATAAGAACAATTTATAATCAAATAATACAAATTTGTTCCAAAAAGAAAACTTTGCATAAATAAATTTGAACTATCCATTAAAATTAACTTACTTCAAAGAGCCCGCTTTAAAGTTTACACTGGTTTACACGTGAGTCAGCGCCTCTGCCCCACTGCTTGTGAGAAAATCATAAATCTTTCAGTTGAGCAAAAATATTTTGCACGCAAAAGCTTGCAAACTTCCTCTCTCGTCGCAATTCAAAGGCGCCTTGTGCGTCTGGCGCCGAGAGGAACGCGAAATCAACACAACAAAGTCGACGAGTTATACATTTCGAAGAAAATATGTGGCAGTTTTCTCTCTTTCATCTCCAGCGGCTGCAGTCAGTCGTCGCTGTGCTGCGGAGAAAGCATAAAAGTCACGCGTTTGTGGCCTGGCGACAAACTCTGTGGCACACACAGAGCGTACACAGTTCGGCCACGAGAGAAAATAAAAAGCGAAGAGCAAAAACGGGCGCCGACTGTTTGGCATCTGCGCTGCCGGTTTGTCATTTTTCATTTCGGCGCGCCAAGGGAGCCGAGCTGTGTTTTTACACGCTTTACTGGCTTGACGATTGAGGCGTGCAGTTTTCTCAATGGGAATACTAACAGGGCCGGTTGTAAACTATGAAAATTTATTGTCACAAGCTGTTCGCTAATTGCCGTAAAAGCTGTTTGTTTACTGCAGCATTGTAGTTTAAAAACATTATGTTTCAATTATAATTTTTAATAATATTAAACAAAAAGTACGGTTTTATGTTAAAAAAGTTATTAATCAAATTTTAATATATTATTTTTATTTAAATTAATAACATTTCAATTAACTTTTACTTCTTCATAAAGAGAATTAATTAATTTTTGTAACATTTTACATGATTTGTAAATGAAATATTTAAAACCTACGTTCCAGAGGTTTGAGGTTATTTTAGAACATTTAAATGTAATGCTGTTGGCTGCTAAATAATTCATTAAATTTTGATTTTGCAGGATTATAACTCCACAAATAATGCAACAAAATAACAAGTATATGCAATTATGTAAATCAAATAATTTTCTTTATTTATTAAATCGTTATTACCATAATGCATAAAAAAAACTAATTTTTCAAAAGCAATGAGTAAAATGTGCTTGAAGGTGACTTTAACTGTCAACACCCTCCAACAAAGTACTTTTTCTTCACGCACTATTCTCCCAACGTAATGTAGACGAATTTTACACTCGCGTTCACGCCTTCAAAAGGAGAGCACACTTGAACGAACGCTAGCGCAGCCGTCTCATTTGAAATATATATATTTTACCGCTTTTTACTTTTACAAGCGCCAATTCATAACATTTTCGCAGCAGCTTTTACAAAAACGACCCCACGCATGCTGCAGCGGCCGATACGTCTTGGCGTGACGGGTCACTGAGGTCGCGAATATCGCTCGCTTGGGGCGGCAAAAAAGCGTGAGTGACTCATATTTTACTTGTCATCGAAGTGGCGAACTTGAGTTATGACGCACCAGGGTCAGAGGTGTTGGTCTAGAATGGAATATTGGATAATGGACCTCGGAGCTGCTGAGTGCTCGGGGTGCCAATTTAATGTGTGGATGGCTCGTTACTGTCGCGCAATTAACAAAAGCGGAAAGTGCTCTTGTAGAAATTAATGGATTTATGTTGTTTGCCAATAATTATATTTTCCTGCAGGTAAAACACGCGTGAAAAAACCTTCTGTTTTTTTTTTCAGTAAAAATTGCATTTAAAGTTATCTTCAATTATTATTCACCGCTCTTTATTTTTTTACGTTGCATATTTTAATTTACCAATTTATATCCACGCATTTCAATATTCATAGTGAAATTTGGCTCAAATTCTAAAATTAAAATGTTTTTCAACAACATTCTAAAAAAAAAGGAAATTGTTTGAAAATTGTGATTATTGTATTATGTAAGTCCTTTGAAATTAGTTATGATATTTAACCAGTTATTTTGTCATTCAACATTTCGACGCTGCATTAAATTGGGCAAAAGAATTGTTAATTGAGATAGAAAAATTGTCTGATCCCATTTTCAATCAGTGTGTCTGATCATTTAATTGGTGAGGAAAGCTACTTGACCTTCAGTTTGTTTAACAATATAAACATTGATGCAATGTAGACCTTACTAAATAAATAATTACTTTGCTTCTCAAGTCGCAATAATTACGCTGATAATTGAGTTCATGCGCGCCTGCTATTGCGCTCTACATTTTTTCCACAAGTTCCTTCGCAACTAGTAGAATGCAACTTCGCTGATAATATATTAACACTTGCGAGACAGATTGCAGCAGAGAGAGTTCTAGACACTTTTATTACTTGTCTGTCTGTAAAAAAACGCCTGGGGAAATTGATAAGAAATCAATAAAATCTTTTGACGCAGAGAATACACTTGTGGGATAAAAAGATTAGTTTTCATACTTCATCACGAGGTAATACATCTCGTGGTTGCCGCTTTGCGGATGCCTTTTTAACGCTGATGGATGAAAGCAACTCAAAAGTCATCCACCCTTTTGTGTCAACTTTATATCCGCAAACACGGCTCTCACGCCAAACGATCTCTGTAGCTGCGGTCGAATGCAAGTGCATATATACGGAATGAAAAAAAAGATAAGAAGCTGCTGCACAAAAAGCGCATACTCTGCTCTGGAAACTGGCAGAGATTTCCATCCAGTAGCAAAAGCGCAGGCCGCCGACGACCGATCGATCCGTGCAGTGGCTCACGTTAAAACGCTCTCGCACACTCGCAACCGTCAATTCCCAAGTGTGTATTGGGTGGAATAGTCGTCTAAAGAAATTAAAAAATGAATGGTTAATGTGGTTAGGTTAGGTAATTTAAATAAAAAAAACCTACAATAAAAGAGGCAAATTTATAGTTTGCAATATCTTTGATGGTTTTCATTGGGGGGTGAAACTTGAAATTGAATCAGTTTGAAGATTTTTATTGATAATTAAATGAAAAAAATACTGATTGCAATTATTTATTCCCGATCTTACAATTTATTAATATAATAAAAATAAATTATTAACTCAATCTCTTTCCACAGAAGTGACTTGAATTGAGAAGTAGGCAGGGGTTTTTTTTGGAGGGACGTTTGAATAAAACATGGCCGTTTATTTCCCGTGAGCCCAGGGGGTACGACCTCTAAAGCAATTACTTTGAAGCCCAAGAGCAAATTAATGAAATTTACGGCCCGGGGAACAAAGCGTCCCAAAGCCGCCCGAGAGAATTGATTTCGGCGTGTAACGAGATAAGGAGGGCGATAAAGGGTGGAGCAGCTTTGAGGGCACGTTTGTGTGTGTCTCGTCAGGTAGGCTGGAAATTTTTCGAGTGGCCGGTAATGAACAAAAAAGAGGGAGGAACAGCCCTCGAAAATGCTCCTGCTGAGAGCGAGTGTCTCTCTTCGCGACGACGTGTCTCAAGAAGGGCACCATAAAAGTTGCAAACTCACCAAAAACGTTTTGGGCAACTCGGAAAAACGAAACCTTCAAAGCGAGAGGTGAATTTTAATCTTTAATTGCGATCTGCTCTCGCCAAAAGAGTTGAATAGAATTTCCGCGAAAAATGCTTTTCCGTGAAAAGTTTATTGCATTTTGTAATTGACGTGACTTGATCGCACTGCAAGATAATTTACGCGTCGTCAGCACGAACCGCCCCAATTTTGCGAAAAAAGGGGTTGCTGTGAAACACACCCTACACGGAAAAGCGAGGCGAGAGAACCCGGATGCCTGTAAAGTAGACTGCACCGAGACTAGGCGTGTCCCGCGGGTTGCATATCTCGCAGTCAACAAACTCTGGTGCTAGGCGTTCGCCGCTCCCCATGGTGGAGAACGCTTTGTCGGTCCGTGCTGCCATCTACATTGGAGAACGGAAACGAATAATTGCAACCGCAGTATTTTATTCAAGCTCAAAAATTAATAAATGCTTTTTACGATTTCATTTCTTTGATTATCAAAGACAACATGAATTTAAAAAAATCTGCACAAAATAACATTTGAATTGACTTTGTTTCAGATTTGCAATCAGCCTTCCCTTGGATGGAATAAAGTTCTAATTCTGTAAGTACACATCAAGCATAATTAATTAAGATTTGCTCGTGATTTTTGGGAAATAATTAGCACTTCTTACTTTTGGAAACTCCATAGAAAAAAAATTATTAAAAATATTATTTTCTAATTTCTATAAATCGAAATGATTTTGTTCCAAATCCGCAATGCTTTTTTGACCGATATGCACTTTCTCCATTGAATTAAATATATATTATTGCAGCTCGCTCACCAAAGGCGTTCTCGATTGAAATCATAGGCAGACGTGTAAAGTAATGATAGGGCTCAGCCGCAAGAATAAATTCGTGTTTGCTCGACCACCTGCATCAATAATTGATTCCTTTTGTACAACTGACTTTGAGCAGCGCGTCTAATTGCCACTCGCACTTTCCATTTCACGCCCGCTCTTTGTAGGAAGTAAACACGAAATTCATATATAATATACGTGGCGCGTCGTTTGTCTAAAAAATGAATAGGGCATTATCTCTTTATCCTAATGCGCATCGGAATTTTTATGTTCACCAACCGCGAGCGATGCGTCACCCAAGAGTTCAAACTTTCGCCGAGGAGCAGCAAAATTCTCCGTTTTGCGCGTTTGTATTCCCATCCGAGCATCGAGAGTCATTTCATGCTAATTAAGGAACTGCAAAGGCACACAAATTGATTATTTTTATTTGACAATCAACATTAAGCTGTGGAATGTTTAGTTTCACTTTTTGGCAAACGTAGCAATTTAAAAAGAATTAAATTTGATTGCAATCGCGGGACAGAAATAAAAAGCAATTTTGATTGAACTTAATCCCGGCGAGAGTTGAGCGCAAAAAAATAATCGGCACAAAGTTTGCGAGGCATGAGTCGACGAGAATGATTGGTGGTTCAATAAAAGAACAAAATGAATTTCTCTCCCGTTCGCCATTAGTGATTGACATTTGCGCTTCCGGACGCAAAAAAATCGAACTTTTTTATCTCGGGCTGTGATCCGCCACGACTCTCTCGCTCACCGAGATACGAATACAAAAATGATGATACGCCGGATTCATGATTTTGGGCCCCCCATAGCGTGATCCTTAAATCTATCACTGCTGCCGCGCCTGGTTATTAATGGTCGGTGGCACCTACCGCGGTCATTAATAAAGGGAAATGAACCGAATCCCCTTTATAACCTCATATTGCATTGCGTTTCATATTTATATCAAACATTTAATAATGTTTTTAATTTTTTTTTTAAATTCTTAGAACTGTTTACAAAAATAAAAATATATTAAATTAATTATTTTCTCAGTATTATTAAAATTATCGATTTATATTATTTTATTTCTTAATTTTTATTTTATTTTATTTATTTATTTTCCATTCAATGCAGTCAAGATTCATGAATACACAGCAAAAAATATACAGAAAAAGAATTTGTTTTTTAATAAATAAATTTTGTTGTAATAAAAATAATGTAATTCATGACTCTTTTTATAATTTTCTTATATTTATTTGATTTGTGTGCTATAAAAGTAACAACATTAAATTTTTGCTTAACGTAATATAAATATATGTAAATTAATATAAACCTTCAATCAAATATGAATTATTTATTTTGCATTGACTATTAATATCATTTGGTTGAAATGTTTATTCTTTGGTAGTCTCATGAAGTTTCATGTAATTACACAAGAAAATTTTCAAAAATTGATATCATCAAAAGAACTTTTCTTTTGATTTTTCTTTTTAATTTTTGTTTTTGACAATTTTCTAAGGTATATTTATCTGTTTCATGTCTAAAAATGTATTATTATTAAATTTATTTATTTATTTATTCTCCATTCAGATACATTCAGATATTTTTTATAAGTTTTGCTGATTATGCATCAGGCTTTTGCCATACTTAATTTTGCGATGTGGGCTTGCAGGATATCAAGTGCAAATGAACGGCTCTTTTATTTTGATAAGGTCGCCACAAATTTTCAACACCCCAGTCGGCACATCAGATACAAAACCAAAACCGTTTACTTCGAGAGCAAGAAGCCACTGAATATGAACTTGGCGATGGTGCGGAAAAACCATTCATACCTAAGTAAATACGCACAGAATAACCTCTTTTCGCAATCGCGACGCTCCGATCTGGAGAGGCTGCTGCGCTTTTTGTTCCAGAATAAAACGACTCTCTTTCTTTTTGTGCACAGCGGTGATTTTGTCTGCTGTGTGGGCACATTATTTATGCGCCGTTTCTCTCAATAAAAAATAAATAAAGAGCGACAATTTGCGCTCGCAGACGAGAATGGGTGCCGTTGAGAATTGAAATTATAACGATGTGTGCTAGCGTGCGTAGGCGTGGAAGCAGAAAATCAAAGACGGATATTACAAACATTATGTGTGGCATAGGAGAAGCGAAAGAAAGGTGTGTGACCGCCACCCTACTATTCCACTTACACAAAATATTGGCACTCCGTGTGCATCGTTTACAATTCATTGAATGAAAGTATAATATCGCCTCGAAAAATCAACACACGATTTAAAAAGTAAAGAGTTTACTTTTTATGTTTGTTTGAATGCCTTATAATAAATCCTTCTCAATAAGATATTAACTAAGACAAAACACATTGATTAATTAAAACTTCAAACAAAAAAAAGCTAGGCAATGATCGACTGATTTTTGCACTCCTCTTGTGGATTTCAGGCTGCAGTGGCATTATAGGCAAAGCAAAACAAACTTATTTTCCATAATTATTTTGCGACGCGATATACGTATTTTTATTTTGCAATAATTAAAAAATTAAATTTTTCTTTCACGACTCAACTTCATAAAATGAATGTTGGAATCAAGAAACAATAATTTAATATTAACTTCTTAACACAATTTTTTAAATTAACAATATTAAAATATTTATTAATTTCTTAACTTTATTTAAGACAGCATTTTTTTATATTTGCCTGTTCTTGTGATATATGATATATTTATTAGTTATTAAGGATTACTTCAATAAAATTAAAAATTATTTGATAAAGGTAAATTACGAGTTTTTTAGATTCTTCAATTATTACGTGATTATATATATTTTTAACTGGTATAAAGATCCTATTGATCTTCGTATTCAATGATAATTTAAATCATCTTTATCTCCTGTACTGATGAGCCTTAAAATACCGTAAATAGTTAAATTTCAATTAATTCGTAATTAAATTAATCAAGACTCCAATTTGTATCTTATTAATCCAATTATAAGATCGAACAATAAAATAAAATAATCCAGTTTTGTTAGAATGAAAAAAAAGCCTATTACTATTTGTGCTTTTCCATTCCAGCAACGATTGAAATATGTGGGTCTCTCATCGTAATACTAATAAAAACGCAGAGAAACGGCGAATTTCTTTTTAAAAAAACGTCCCGCAGCGGCATTGTGATGTTTCTTTTGCATTTTCTTCACAATGTTTTCGCTTCTGGCCCGCCGTAATAATTTGGAGTGTCCGCCTTTTAAGAGATTTTCTTATAAAAATATCTCTCTCTTGTCGTGCGACCTCAATTATAAAACTCGCGCGCGCACCTACATTTTTTTCCGCGCCGCTTTTATCACACCGCACGTTGGACCATCTCAATGCATATTTTTTAATTTTAAACACGCGCATCATGCAGTCGGTGAAATACCACGCTGCCGTGCCGATCATCGCTTTTGATAAAAATGGGAAAATGGAATAGACGTGCTGAGGTGCAGATGACGACTATTAGACGAACAAGTTCTTTGTGTGCATCTTTGTGTTGTTGTTGTTGTGTCCGATTATGTATGATTCTCCGAGCTTTCTTTGCCTCTAGCCTATAGTCAGCACGTAAACGATGGGAATGAGGGAACCGAAGAGAGAAAGATGAATCATCACGTGCTAAACTTGCCTTGAACACAATGCCTGGATAAATTATAAAAGAGAATTCCTGCTGCTTTTGGTAGGAGATCTGTCGTCAAGATTTGGTATCTTTGCATAGTCTGTTGACTGTTTTGCACGAAAGTGTGCAAATTCGTTGTTTGTGGGGAAAGTTCGGCAACTTCAAATTAAAATGATTTACATCAAGAAGAAGAATTATATTTTTATAAAATAAACCTTCACATTTTTAGAAAGGATTGCAAAAAAATATATAAATGAGATTTATTGACGCATATAAACTAATTAAATATTGAATTTGCAATTAAAATTTAGAATTTAAATTTAAACAAAATAATCTCATCATTTTTCAAAATCACATACCATGACCGGCATGATTATGGAATTGTCAGAGCAGAATTCACTATTTTTCGACAGAAAAGAAAAACTGCGCTGTTTCTTCCGAGCTCTTCTCTACTGAAAAAAATTTACAAAATTATATTAAGAGATATTTATTACTATAATATTATTATAATATTTTATTTACGCATTGAAAATTGCGTGTTTCTCCATTGTAAACATTAAAAAATAAAAATTTATTGTTGTTTTGATATAATATAAAATTCATAAAAGTTTCCTTGCAAACATTTTTAATATACGCATCAAATTTCGCTTAAATAAGCATGCATTTTTGTTTATTTTGTACTTAAGATTATTTACCATAAATCTCTACTGAATCGTTGCATGATTCCATCCAACACTTTTTTCCAGCTCGCACGCAATTAACTCCTCAAGGAGGCACATGCCTCTAAAAGTTCCGTCGTCCAATTGGACGCCAAACAAGTCATAAAAAGCGCCATTAGTCCATTACCTGGAGATTAAGTGGCGTGTGTGTTTACCGAGAAGTTCCTTCTCTTTCGAGTGGACTATCACCGAATTACGGCCGCCGCGTTATCGCATATTTTTAGAAGCGCCTGCTTTTTAAAATTATTATACTGCCGGTGGCGATAAATAAGTGATGAGAGATGTAAATTCGAAAGTAACGGACTCGGATTTATGTACACATACGGACATTGTCAGCACTCGCACGGCGCGAGGCAAAAAATACCATACCTCTCTGCTCGGAAAAAACACACAAAATTATTTTCATCTCTCGATCTTTCTTGACTCATCTCAGCAGTTGAATGCGGTCGTAATTATGTATTGGAGGCGTAAAAAATTGACACCTTCTTATCTCTGCTGCCTCAGCTTGAGCTTGGCGTAAATGAAAAAAAAACGTACATGCACAGAGTTATATATGCGCAGAGAGAGGAGCTGCTGCTTTCGCTGGAAGGTGGATCGAATAGTAATGTAATTATGCGCCAGTACACACCTGCGCGTGTGCCCAATACACAAACAATGAGAGTCTCGGCTCAAACAAGAGATGGGCTATAAAGTGCTGGAGGCCCGCTAATTCCGTCAATCGCAGGCACAGAGCCAAAATTTCAAATGTGACACACATGGTGAGAAGAGTTTAAGCTACAATATTGGGAGAGCCTCTTGTAAATAATTTTTTTTTTCAAAACGAGAAGCACCTTAGGAAAAATTAATTAGAAAAATATTTAATAAATTTAAGAGATAATAAGAGATAAATTTTGAAAAATGATTAAATTTGTTTTGAAAAGCGAGGAAGTTCTTTTGATACTTGATTTCAAAAATTAGCTTGGCGTAAAACACAGTAAAATGAATAACTAAAATTTGTCCTTTGATCGTCTTTTAATCCATATTAACTGTCTAAAAATTGCTATAAAGCTATATAAAAAGGGGAAAATTTGCAAGGGCAAATGGTTAATGCTTAATGTATGCGCGTTTGCATTTTATAATGAACATGCGTGTTTTATGGGTTTTTGTTCTTACGAAATGAGGATTTTAGAGTTTTCCATAAACAACTTGCGTTTCTGAAGTACGACAAATTAATCGCTTTGCAAAAACAGAAGCAATAAGTGGCGATAGAGTCTTTCATTTTTTATCCCAAAATTGCCCATCCCTTTGCCAGACAAAGGTCTCATTGTCACAAGTAGGAGTGCCAAAAATTCGATTGGGTGTCTCGCCCGCGTTTTCGCATTGTCCTCGACAAGGTTCACTTGCTAATAGAGCTCACGAACACTTATGAAGAAAAAAAGTTTGATGCACAAGTGGTGTCGCCTGCTTGTATTGTTTACAACGTGACACGCTTGCCTGAGTACTCAAGAGCAGGTGCCCTAGTTGACCTGTCGCGCCGACTTTAATGCAGCTCTTAGGAATATTTCCAACTCGCGTCGAGAGCAATTACGCCGGAATCTGCTCTTGGTAGCAAAGGGAAAAGGTTTTGTCGCGTAAACACGCGGTTTCCAATTTAATTGTGCCAAAGAATTCAGCAGGAAATAATCATTTTCCGACGGAATTGTCGCAGTGTGTCAGTGAAGCACGTTTTTTAAACCAGCAGAAGGATTTCTCTAGACCTCGTCTTCTCTGCGCAACACGCAATTTGTAAAAATGTCAAGAAGCAAAGTCAAGAGTCATTTCATGCCAAATCGGCCGGATTGTGAACATCAGTCTTACAATAAGAGGAATTACTGCGAAGAGATAATGAAAAACGAAAAATATGCAAAAAAAAAATCAAGAAACGTTAAACCCTTTTCAAAGGTTATACAGTTAAAAAAAAATGCATAAATTTATATATACAAAAACATTGAAATGTCTGAACTTTTAATAATAAATTTTGATTTTGAAAATAATTGGAAGTTTTCAATTGATTTTTTTTCAGATCAATGAAACGATACTTTTGCAAAATAAAATTGCTTAATTACATACCAATATAAAATATTACGATCCGTGAGTTTAAAATCCGCACCTCTTGTTAATACTACTTTGTATGATGAAGCATTAAAACCGAACACAAAAAAGAACAAGCTCTTTATCAATATTCCAAGAATCACGCTGCGCACATTACAAACTTTCTACGGCCAAAACGTACAGACAATTAATCACAAAACAGCTTGTCAACCCGACCGGCAATTATACTAAATTTTGTTCCCGCACCGAAATCTCGTAAGTCTTTTCTTGTACAAGCAACCGGGTCCAGAGACCAAATTAAATTTCCTCTCGTCGCACGAGAGAGGTGCCCTCGTCTTTCGATTGAATTTCAGGCACGTCGACTCTCGTGAAAAGGTGCTTTTTGCTGGCAGGAACGTCATTTAAGTAGTTTTTTGTGTGCGCATAATTGACGCGTCACACGCGAGCCCGACGAGTGAAAAAGTGGCGCCATTCTCTTGGACACGTTTGGTCCTTGCATGTGCGCGTCTGTCTTGACAGGAAGAAATTTTGGCACACGAGCAAAAGAAAAAGTGCTTCCTTCAGATAAGAAACACGTTTTACTTTTTGAGATCATATATCAGAACCATAATTTTTAATAACACAACCCTTTTCGTTTGCAATGCTTAATAACATTAAAATTAAAATTTACAATAATTTTTTTTTTCTATTACTCATTTTAATTGATTCTAAATTTGTTACATTTTAATTTTTGCATTTTTTTATATTAAGTATTTGTTTATTGAACTGTTAAAGTTCAATGTTTAATGTTTTAATATTTAATGAATTATAATTTAACTTTTTTAGCAAAAACTCTTGTTTTATTTTAACACATATATAATATATGCTTTTGGTTTAAAAGAATTTTAAATAAAATATCTTAAATAAACTGACTTGAATTGAGTTTGTAGATATGATCACTTAACTGTTGATAGAGATTGATCTACTGTACTTGTATAATGTATGTATTAATCAATTATGTGTTTATTGAATAATTTCCAAATTGCTAAATAATTTAGAAACCAACATGTCATATATATGTATAATATTCATATTTCATATTACAGCATAAATTAATGTTCCTTTATATGAGCTAAAAATATATAATAAAATTCAGAATTCACCAAGGAACATCAACTAGAAGTGTCAAGCATCAAACTAATATGACGCTTTCCTGGTTTATTCCAGATTTCTCTCTTGATCCTATGTCGAAACTGAAACTTTCAATAAAGATTTGTGTCCACTTTTGGCCCGTGCAGGCGATCGACAATTTCCATAAGAGGCAAGGTGCGCTCATAAAATAATAAATTGCATAGGCGACTGAAACGCATTAATAGTATTTATCAGCCTCGCTTCTATGAGCATTCCCTAGTGACACCTGAATTTATCACCGCCGAGAGTTCGTTGATCGCCACCACAGACGTGTTTGTGATCTTTCTCTCTCCTATTTCTAAATGCATGACATGGAGAGATGCACTCGAGGTGCTAATTGAGAAATAAAGTATCTAACTTGCTCAACAGAGAAAATAAAATCGGTTTTATTGTCACGCGGAAGGGATCAAAAATAATTACACGCGGGTGATTATTTCACGCCGTCTGGTGCATCTGCTGCATCTTTTCTGGAAAGGTCGTTTCTGGAATGCAATAAATAATAACAAACGCACGCGTGCTTTCTCTTCTGCTGGACCGCGATGCTGTCAGTCTCGCGCAAACATCATTACGCGCTTCAAATCTGGCGATTTATTAAAAAGTGGAAGGAATTTCTAGGTGTTTGCAAGCTAGAAGTGCAGTTGGTTGGAAATCCTAGGTTTTTAATAAATACGCGTTCGCATTTCTTTGAATTGTGTGACATGGATTCGTCGCGGTGCATCCGTTTTTTATCCAAGAGCTAATTTGTAGGTTGACAAGCTGTTTGAAAATTTCTACACTTCACCGCACCATCTGTCACAATATTTAAAAAAAAGAAGAAAAAAATCTATATATTTGCTATATTTCTAAATCCGATATTCTTAAAAAAAAAGATGTGCTGCAGCTTCTCTAAAAGATTTTTTTTCCTGGTGGATTTAAAAAAATTAAAATATTTAAAAAAAAGTATGAGCTGTAGATCAAGCTAAATGTATAAAAGATGCTAGCTACACACAAAACATCTCTTTCCTTGTCCTTGACACCCGAGGTAAATTAATGGCCTAATTAATTACAGTCTACGCCACAGTGTTTTCTTATTTCAATTAATCCTTCAAGCTTTTATAGAGAAATTCTTGACGGCGACCTGTTTTAAATGACTATTCTTTTCATCAATGCTCTAGAGATTGGAGATATTTGAACCTGCCAAAAATGATTTAAAAGTAGATAAAAATGTTTTTTTTTTTGGCAGGGTGTTAATACATAACTTATATGAATATTTGCAGAAATATTTATTTTTATTGCCGTATTTACAGCTTTATTAAAAAAACTTCACTAAAGGCTGGTATATCAGAAAATTGATAAATTTGAAAAACATTTTTTTTTTATGAAGAGGAAAAAATTGCGAGCTTGTCCTTTTCAAGTGGAGTTTTCAACTAATGCTTAAGCAATTTAAGATTGAGAGAGCAGATTGAGAGTAAGGCATAGTAGTGGGAAGCTGTGCAGTTTTTATGTTTAAACATTTTTAAACATGTCTTTTTTTTAACCACACCTAATTTGGATACAATGATAAAATCACTTCAGGGTATATTTATTCACAAATATGGCCCCATGCCTTTTCGCACGGATCGTCAACCAATTCTCCACTGAAGATCATTGCGCACGCTGCTATGGATGCATTTTTATATTCATTCGGCTCCATGGGATTTTTGCGCCAAAGTTCGCTTTCCGTACTAAGCGGCGTTCCGTCAATCCAGGAAAATTCTAAATGGTTCTCTGCATGATTCGCAGCCGCAACCCACCAGTGCTGACGTTTTTCATTTGCCGTGGTTGCATTATTTAATAGTGCCAACTCAATTTTCGTCTTCGGTGCAGCCAGAACCATGCAGTTAAAAGCACAATTTAGTGTCGCGTCCCACCAACTCAACTACAGAACGCAAAAATTCATTCAGAGTGCATTTTGAAGAACCTCATTTCTACTCACACTTTTCTTTGAAAAATAGTATTTTTTCCCATTTTCCAGCGTTTTCGTGGTAAAGGCTATAAAACAAAAATTGAGTTATTTTAAATGTGACAGAGTCATTAAGGTTCTGAAATAAATTGTAATACCTTCTGACTCGACTTTATACTTTTTCTGGAAATTTCCAAAAAAATATTTGTTACTAAAATTTTTCTAATTTTATTTAAATCAAACCTTTAAATTGCATCCAAAATTTAAATTTCCTGAATTGTATGGCACAGCGATGGAGCGTGTAGTTGCGTCATACTATAGAAAAAAAATGACAAAATATTCAATAAAAACAAATAATAAAATTTGTAGATACGACGAATTTCTTATTTTGAGCTATTTAGTATATTTCAGATTGATAATGATACTTACCTTTTCGAGGTGCACAAACTTTTCCGCGTTTGCCTTATTCAAAAGCTCTGTTAGATTATCATTCTCTTTTTGAACATCTTGTATCTGCGAAAATGTTAAAATTAAACGCTTTTTTTCACAGTGTATAATTTTTGTCTAAATGATGATGCACAGAAATTTTGAAGTAAAAATGGTAGCAGGTATAAATGAAGTACAATATTTTTTTTTCTATATTATATCTATCCAAGTAAAAGGACTAAAAATAGTATCAAACCTTGATAATCATGTCACCAGCTATTTCTTGAAGAGCACTGTTCTGAAAAGTAATTGAATTTTATATTTATCACGCATCAGTTAAAAGAATAATGCAAACTAACAATATTATTTTAAACTGAAATGCGCATATCTTAAAAAATTTGAGATTAAATTAATGTTTACCTTTGAAGCGAGACATGTTATTGTTATAATTAGGCTGAGCAATATTGCAGCAGGAAGACCGTACATGAACCATTGTTGATTGGAGAACCCCATGATCTCTTTTTGCGTCTGATCTCTTCATTCAGCAAGTAAATGAGATACACTCAGTCAGAGAATTGAGTCTTGTGTAACTCTATGTCGGGAAATGTCTTATCATTATTTTTTGTATGTAAATGTTGAGCTTCCTGTGATCTGTTGTTACCAGAGACTAACTGTTAGTCTATGGTTGTTACACTCATGTTAATCCCAATGCAATATTATCGTTTTAAGCTTGGAACGGCGGATGGGGCGTAGAAATGGATTCATGATACTCTTATTTTAGACTCATTCAATTCAACCTTCAATAAATAATTTTATTGTTTGTAGGAATTGACACATAAAATTCAATTGGCAGATAAGGAAAATATTATTACTGTTGCTGATTATTAGTCCATAATAAAATTGTTGGTACTCAACTAATCTATTAAATGAACGATTTGTTTGATATAAAGTAAAATAAATCTAATGCAAATTGTAATATTCCTTGGAAACAAAATATTTGTGCTTTAACAATTTATCAAGAATATAATTATCATTCAGTGAAAACGCCGTGTATGCGCGCATGTTCTTTTTTGAATAAATAGTCTCTTCTAAATTGTATGCATTTCAACGAAATCATTCAATTATTTTATATTTTAGTAGCGTTTCTAAATTTGAAATCATATAATGGTCACGATTTTCGTTATGATACGCATGGAAAAAAAATAAAATCAAAATAAGTAAGACGTTAACAATAATAGCATTGCTAAAAATAACAAAATCTGCATTCAATGAGGCTTGATTGACATTTATGATTGATGACGTAATTATAGAATTGATATGTTCAGAGAACAAAGTGATCAAAAATTAAAATTGACGAATTATCAGAACTAGCATTAAATCCACCTAATGTATAAATTTTTGGCGCGTAGAAAATGTCGCCAGGCAATTATCTCGCCGGTTTGAATAGTTTAAATTTTACTACAAATGTATACAAATTGAATAGCTGAAATCTATTAAAATTGCTGCACCGGCCGCAGAGAAACGGTCCAGAGATGTGGGCTAGAGATCGACGGACACGCCTGCCACTATCCGATCGTGGCGATTTTCCTCTCGTTTTATATTAATAAATCCCAAAGCATCTCTGCAGAGAGATCTCTGCTGGCCAAGAGTGAACGTGCACGAGGAGTACATACATTGCATGTGTGCGTGGATATTGCCTGTGCAGCAGCAGGGTCCACGGCACTGCAAACCGAGAGTGACATTGGAGAGAAAGTGTTGCTCGCGATGGACACGTCGATGCGAGGAATAAAATTAATCATAAAATGCACTTGACACAGCAAGTGTAATAAACTGTATCAAGATAGAAGAAAGAAAGTAATTTAATGGTCCCGGCGTTAATTAAAGATGGACCATCAAAGTCTCTCGGCGGCAGGTATAATTCTTGGCCCTGATCTAAAATTTTGATCTGTGCTCGGAGTTGGACGCAAAGGTCTGTTATGTAATTTTCCGACATATCCTGGACCAGCCCAAGTTAAGAAATAATTTGATCGTTAATTAAGAGGTGAGGAGATTGAAGATCTCATTGTTCGACACGTCTTGTTATTGAATGATGCAGCACAATTCTGGGTGTTTTTCATATCATGCCAACGATTTGATGCACCATGTAGAAGTGTTAAATTTTATAGGAAAGATATTAAAAATAAACACTTTTTCACAAACAAAAAATTTACTTCTTAACTGTAAATTATTTACGGCTTTCTCTATATATACTTAACACTAAAAATATCAAAGTTCATTTAAAGACAAAGAACATTTGAAAGCTCTCTATATTTTTTAGTTTAACGTTTTAGAAACACTCCAGGTTTGGCCATGCAGATTTAGATTAAACGGAGCGATAACGCGATGTGTAGAAGTGAACGGAGGCGAAATTGTTTTCTAAATGTCTCATTCATGACCAGGAAATATTAAAAAAGCCGTGATGTTGCACGTAGATTTCGTATCCAGAAGGATTTTTAAAGCATTTTCACGCGACCGCATTCAATGTTATGCTGTTCTGGGAATAATCAAGGAAACGATTCCCGAATCGATTATTCAAAAATTATCCGGGCATTTATGCAAAACTCGACGCACGTTTTTCACTTTCTCAATTTCATGAACACGTGCTTGTAATTACTTTACAAGTACTTACAGGTACGTACACGCATGTTGTAATTATCAGTGAATGAAAACGTGTGCCGGCGTCTGTGCGAGAGGACGTGCAGTTTTATGGAGGCGTTGCAAGTTATTAATCAAGACACTGAAATAATTCGGCCCTTGGGGCATTATTGAAGGAAAAGGCATTTACTTTGCCAGAGAGTTATTATTGAGGAAGTGCTGTCAGCTTCTTCAAATCATGAAACATGCATGTGATTTAATATGAAATCAATATCCTATTTAAACATGTTTGCGACGAGATGAGAAGTGAAATTGAAGATTTTTTGTGGAAATTCTAATTTAATTTATGCAAAAAGTAAGTTTTTAAACTAACCGACACAAAAACCATGCAGAAAGCTTAAAAAGAGTGTGTATGCTCATTTTTAGCTTCGCATGAAACTTTTTTTTTAAAAAATGTGTCCTCCCACGCTCATATTGTTGCAGCGAGAGAGATTTTCTGTGCAGCGCATAAGTTAACAACGAAACTTGTTTTGAAATTGGAGACCACTGTAGATATCGTCTTACTCTCTCGCACAAGAATATATTCTGTTTAAATTCAAGATCAGATGATGCTGCAGCGAGAGAGAAACTATGCTAATAAGCGAATCGCGCGCACAGCAAGTGATAATCTGCATTTAGTGTCATTCCTTGGCATCCACCTGCGCTGACTTGAGCTGCGATCAGTTATTTATGCATCAAATAAGCAATCTAATAAGAGAGATTGGATGTTCATGCGCGCAAAATACAATTAAAATGAACAGAAAATTATACTGAATATTTGATGATTGTATAAATTTACAAATTAACACTTTTTCTTTTGTTACAAATTTTTATTATTGATAAAAAAATATATGAATAATTTTTGTGCTTCTGCCTTTTCATAGCCCTCCGGCAGACTCACCAGAGAAACCTAATCCAGCAATAAATAAGCCCCTAAACAAGTCGTGACGAGCAATTTGATGGCTAATTACACGTCAATTACAATAAAAGGAACACATCACCTACTTTAATTTCGGGCAGCTCATTTCTCGGAGTGCGAAGAAAGCAGCCGGACGAGAAAGAAAACATAATTTATACCGGCCCGAGATGAAAAAGAAGAGGGCGGGCAATCTCATTATTTATACCCATTGATTAAAACGCAGCCTCACGCCGCGGTATTAAATTTCCAAGGTTGCATACTTTTGTCAGACAAAAAGCACTCTGGGGAAAAAAGATTTATTTCCTTTGTGCTGCTCAAATTGAATTTATATAGGCAGGGCCTATCCGCGCGTATGTAAAACTACAGTCGCGCGCGAGAGCGGAGAAAGTTTTTCTCTCTCGCATCTTCTTTGCTTCTTTCTTTTGGTTCGTTGCACGCTCCGCTGCGAGCTGATGGAGCAACAACAACACACGGTGTGCTGTAGCAAACAACAACGTCAACATATCGGCTTATTAACGGCTCGATGGTGCAGTGCGCGACGACAAGTACGCATTGCCGGCTTAATTACTTTTGATGCTCACTTGTGTTCGACGTATAAGTGATAACGATCGCTTGTTCTTTATTAATAAAGAATAAGTCAATGGCACATGAAATGTACATTGGTAGCCATATTTGGAAAAAAATATTAATAATCTTCCTTGAACAAAAGAGTTTGAGGTCAAAGTTGATCTTATAAGGGGGAAAATCCTTGAAAAGTATCATCTACTAAAAATTAAAACAAAAAGATAAAATATATATTTAGGTTATTTCATCCTCTATAAATTTTGATATGGGTTTAAAGTTTAAATCTCTTTACTTTGACTTCAGACTTGACAGAAATCGAATAAATAATCTAATGTGATTATAAAAATATATTGAATATTGAATTCCTTTTTTGGTCTAATTTTTGGTGCAGGGGAATATTTTTTTTTTAGTTTAAAATTAAATTTTTCCAAATAAATGAAGCAAAATTATTTCTTTGGTGTAACTATCCGCATATTTACATATTAAGTGGCCGACAATGAAGCTAACGAAAACGTTCTTCTCTCTGTGCGTGAAAATTCCAAGCCTCGAAACGCCACAAGCCTTTGTTGTTTTAACGTTGATCATCAATCATATATGGTTCGCGCCTAGCCGTTTTCTATTTGCAACTTTTATCGTGCCCTCAAAAACTTTTCGCATTCCGTTTCAGCTTACAATTAGACCATTAGGAGCAGATGAAATTTTACCATACAATCAAACTGGCCATTGTTTTCGCTCAAATTTTCACTTGGCCGAGATCAGAGGCATCGGTTTGATTTTGAATATCGGACAGACGGATCTCTTGATACTTGATAAACAGTTTCAAACTGATGTGATACAAATAAGCCTCAATTGAAGTATGAAAGGGCACATGTGTATACCATATACGTTGGTGCTCCGACGTCTTTCAATCAGGGGCAATGAATCAAAAGAGACTGAAGTGTGCTCGCGATGACCTGTAATCTGCGCGGATTAATTCGTTCCAATAAATCGAGTCATTGTGGGGGATCTGTAATAGGATTTGAGCCATCCGAGCACTTGGCCACCTTCACACAATTATTTTTATGGCCGGAGTCGATTGTTTTTATATATATAAATATAGTTAGTGGGTCAGGCGGCGTGCATGGGGAAGAGAAAGAAAGAAATGCTCAAAGAAAAAAAACCAAGGCGCGGCGGCTGTTCTGGCTCGCAGGTGGCGCTGCCGCGGTTCCGACCAAGAGAGACCAGGACGAGCACCTGAGCACTCGTCAGTCTTGCTTGGAGCCGCAGCATGCGCCGACCTACCGGCTGCCTTTCTCTTCTTCGAGTGCGAATTGCGGACGACAGCAATAAGTTGACCTAGGGCGCTTCCAATACTCATTATTTTTAAATGGCGTCAAATGAAGAGAGCAAAATGGGCAAAATACATCTTGTAAGTAGATTTA